GAGGGTAAGTATTATATTATAATTTAACTTTTACAACACAAAATAAACATCATCTAATTAAATAATTTGTTTTTTTAATAACAGTGTGTAAGTATTATATTATAATTTAACTTTTACAACACAAAATAAACATCATCTAATTAAATAATTTGGTTTTTTTATTTCTTTATAATAACCAGATGGTAAGTATTATATTATAATTTAACTTTTACAACACAAAATAAACATGGGGCATGCTGGAACAAAACCAGACAAAGTGAACATTGGTATTACCAAGAATTTCAGGGATCAATAGTGTTTGTTTAATATCACAATTGTATTACAATGTAATGTGATCATGATATTTGTCTGGACTAAAATAGTTAATATGAAACTCATTTGCATCAGATCCACTATGGAACCTAAGAATTAATTATAGCTAAAGATGGGTCCCGCAATTGAAATGCTGCAACATTTGATGTTGCAACACTGTGTTGCAACATTGCAAAGAATCATCTTAAATTCCGCAATGTCCGCAATTAACTACATGTTGCAATTATCCGCAACTCCGCAAATATTTCCATTGTCCGCAAATATCCATATTTCCACAAATATTTTTTATGTTTGCAAATCTCAAAAATCCTTTTTATAAAATCAAATTAAAATTTATTCTTGGTATCATTTCTTTACAAACTAAATATTTTATTTAATGTTTGCAGATATTTTGGTTAAATTTGTAATTGTGACAAAATTATTGTAGTTCCCATCTTTATTTCCAATATTGTTCACAGTAATTACAAGTTCCTTCATAATGACCACGAGAAATTTCTCTCCCTTTAGTAACATGTTCCCACACTTCAGTAAAACGTCTACCAACACTTCCTGTTGAGTTACTTATATCACTATTCATTTTTACATTTTTTTTATATAAAAAATAAGATAAAAATCTTTTTTTTTTTTAAATCAATTTTTCCCTTACACAAAAAATATAAAAAAGAATTGCGGAATTGCAGACAATTGCAGATATAGAAAATAATTGCGGAATTACGGTTTGTTGCAACAAGCTGCAATTCCGCAATTATTTTCTATATCTGCAATTGTCTGCAATTCCGCAATTCTTTTTTATAAGCTACAACTAAAATTTATTCTTTGGTATCAAAATAAAATTATTTCTAAAGTTATATTTTGTTCTTATAAACATATCGATAACAATTTAGAAAATAATACTTTTTTTTATTTACAGTATAAACTAAATATTATTTTTGATTTGCAGATCTTTCCTATAATAATTGCGGCTACAACGTTGCAACACCAGTCCAAATCCGCAATAATTGCAGCTTGGAAAAACAATTGCGACTCCCATCTTTAATTATAGCACCATTAGAAGTATTCTAAAAAAGGAACAAGGTGAAAAAATTGCTCCTTACATTTTCAAAATAAATGGTACTCAGACACTAGAAACTTATCTAAAAAAAGAAAGGATTACTTATGAAATTTACCATGAAGAAAGAAAAATCATAACTAATAAAGAGCATCAATGCTGAACTGAGAAAGAAGAGAAAATCAGAAGAAAAATATTTTAATACCTAACTCAGTTTAATTATTAGTATAGGTGAACATGTGTATATTAACACATCAGAAAGAACAGTTGCCACATAACAACAATATCATTAATTAATTCCATGAATTTTTTCTTTTTTCTTTCTTCCTAATAGACAAGGCAAAAATTCCTAACATCAATAATATTATTCCTCCTAATAGTAAGTTAGGTAAATAATTAGTTGAGTTGATTAGTTGTAATTGTTCTTTCTTTTTCACAGTAATTATTTGACCAAGGTCGAATTAATTTAAAGAAATTTTGTCATTTAATTTTAAATAATTGAATGCCTGTTGTAATTCTGGCTTATTATTATTATTTCAAAACGAACTTATGAAATTTTTAGATCGAATTTTCTCTCTTTAAACACATTTTCAATTTAATAATAAACCAGAAAAATGGTTAAATTGAATAAAAGTAATAAAAGGAATAAATTCAAAAAAAATTTGTTGATCGTTGATCATGTGATTTATTTTTCCTGCATTTTTGTATACTACATAAATTTTTTTTTATTCGCTTGTATTTAAAAAAAAAGGCTTTTACTTAGTAGTCAGCTGTGGATTAAAAGTCAAAGGAAAGAAAAAATTTCATTTTGACTCGTGTAACATATGTAGAAACAACAATAATGAAGACAATAAACTATTATTTAGATTATTTAGATGAAAACATTTATTTATATTAAAAAACAGCAATTTAATCAAGTAAATGAATTAGTGAACAAATATTAATATCGTAAAAAAAAATTTAAATTTTTTTGTGATACTCCTTATTCGAATAAGGTTACATAAATGAAAATCTCAATTATACAGCATACATACGCTGAATAAATTGTAGGCTATTATTAAGTAGTCATATTTATGTTTTTTTTTTTTTTAGGACTCCACCATGGATCATTGGGGTGGTCGGTCAAATATGTAGATCAAAATTATATATGGTACCATATAAAAATTAATATGTAGAGATTTTTTTTGCAGATCCTACAAAAAATTTAATAAATAAAAATTAACGAATTTCGAATTCCATCTCCTCCATAATTATCAAATAAACTATTGTCGAAAATTGGTATGAGAGTAGTTTATGGCCTATATTTTAAAAATATTGGCTTACCTTTTTTTTTGTTTGTAAAAAATATTTTTCGTTTTTGTTTTATTATTTTATTTTAAATCATTTTTTAATATAGTTTTTATAATCAAGCATAGTAAAACTAAGCTGATAAAGTGAATGAGTATGTGTTCTAAGCTTTCATTCGATACTATTTTCATGACTGTGGCTAAAAAATTCATGGACTAGATAGATTTTGAAAATATTTGTGTGTAATTTTAATAAATAAAGATTTATGTTTTTCATTCATGAAAAAAAAAATAAGTTTAACTTTCTTTTTCATTTAGACTAAATTATCTTTGTAAACACCCAAAGTATCAAAACAAAAGTTATTGAAATTATTATTTTATATAAATTACTAGATTGGTCTAAATAACTCTACAAACCATATTTATTAAAAATAAAATTTGTATTGTTTTGTAGCTTAGAGTTTCCAAAAATATTCACAATATTACTGTGATGACTAGAAAAAAAATAAAAATTGGCAAAAAATCATATTATTTGCAATTTTATTTAGAAAATATAATGTTCATTATTAGTTTTGAAATAAATTGGAATATAATGAATTTGCATAATTTTGACCATAATGTTGTTGAATATTTTCTTGTAAAACATTTAACTTTTGTCTCTTTTGTTGAGCTCTGATTTCATTTAAATTATTCTCTATATTTATCTTATCAATTGGACCATTAGTGAGTTGAATTTTAGCTTTTTTAGTATTAATTGACATATTATCATGTGTTTTAAGATCTAATTTGTTAAATAATCCTTCGACTTGTTGCTGATGAATGATTATACAATAAATTTTTTCCTTTACAAATGAATATAATAATTGAAAATTAGAAAGGGTTGGATCTAGTGTATTGCAAAATTCTTCAAATTCTTTTTTAAATTCTTGATTTTGTGTCAGATGATTTTGTAAACCAAAATCATCAGTAAAAAAATTTTCTAAATCATTTTGTAACTGTTCAGCATAATTAATTTCAATTTGTGAAGGTTCATTTACCCAAGATTTACTAAAAAACACATAATAATAGCTTCTTGCAAATGCCTGGCCATTATCTCCTCCAAGACGACAAATAGATAAAGGTAAATGTAACCATGGTAACATCCAATTTTCAAAATGTTCTAATGCCT